ACTTCTGATTTTCAGGAATGAAATATTGATGCTAAACGAGAAACTCTTGAAATTATTTCTGATAAAATATTATCTAATAATATTAAAACGAAATATTTATATACATTCGTCAATTACCTTAGAAATGCAAATACTTACCAGCGATGTTAAATTAGAAAGTCCCCAAGAAACAAATATCAGTCCGAACAGAAGAAATAAGGATGTTAATGTAAAAGTAATTGTTATTATCGATTGTACTTTAACGAATATAATGGCATACCAAATAAAACACGTAACGTAAAGTACACACGTGTAAACAATGGGTAATAAAATATCCAATTGTTCGTTAATCATTGTTAAATATCCCCAAAGTTCCGCGTATTTTTTCAGTATTTCTTCCAATGTTTCTTGTAGGACACGATTTTCAATATTAATTTCATTTATTTCTTCTGACATCTTCAAGTATCTTTTCTGCAAAATAAAGCAAATTGCCCCAAATGCTAAGAGAAGAGAAATGATTTGGCCAGCGAAGTAAATATGATACGCAGAATAAACAAAAGACACAAGAAATGCTTCTGTATCAGTTCCGTTTTGGCTTTTTATTTCTGCAAAAAACGAAATTCCGGACACCATCGTAATCATAATAAACACGATAAATAAAAAAGATAAGATACACATTGTATAGCCTTCTATACGATTGAATATTTTCGATTCTCCTCGATAACTGCTCAATATGCAGTGACAATCAATTTTCTTCCTTTTCAGAATACTGAACTGCCCAGCAGTATATATCGCCAACAGTGCATACACTACTGACGCTTCCAATGCATAAACTCCGAATATTTTGACACCTCTTAAAAAATAGATATTTATATTTATTAATCTTATNACTATTACCAAAAAAATTTTTTATATCATGTTTAAACATAATAACAACTATTAGCCTATTTTCGTGCTATCTATTAATTCATACCACCGATGATCAATTTGCATACCATCAGAGGAATTTATTAAATTATTTTTTTGTTTCCTTATTTCTAAGTGCTCTTTAAATTTTCTTTTATAAATATCTTTTTCAAAATGTAGAATTTTGAATTATTAATCTTATTGAAGAAAGCAAGACCATTGCCCATAGAAATATTTCTATGAAAGAACAATATGCCTTAAATAAAGTCGATCGAAAATGATGCATTGCCCTTGTCTCCTCTTCCATGCATGGACAGGGTTTCCAAAAGTACAGCCCAAATACTTTAGCTGATTTAAATACAGGGGCTAATATATACCCGATACAACGTTGTTTCTCTCGAAGTGACAGCATTTCTTCTTTGAGTAAAACGAATTATTTTTAATCTTCGAAATTCTATAGTTACCTGAAACACTGCAGCAAACACCTGACAATAAAAGTCCGTTTGTCGTTTTGCGTTGCTATGGTGTAATATTGATTTTGTTTGAAAATTTGGAGGCATTTTTATTTTATCTCACTTAGTGTAAGTTGTTTATTTAGTGTAAGTGCTCTGTTTTACAGAGCACTTACACTAAATAAACAACTTACACTAAGTGTAAGTGCTCTGTAAAACAGTAAGTGCTCTGTAAAACAGAGCACTTACACTAAGTAAACATCTTAATGCAACTGTTATGCACTTTTAATTAAAAATTTTACTTTCTGTATCTTTATTACACTTAAAAGTTGCTTTTAACCTATATCGAATATGGAAATTCTTTCTTCCAGAAACAATTTTAATCAACAGTTGTTATGCAAAACTTCATTTTCTTCTAATCAATTTAATGGTTTCGTAAATATCTCTTCAGCATAGAGATATTTAATGGATTGTTTGATATAAGCTTTTAACATTGCTCACTACTTTGCAGTATTTATAGATGTAGTAATTAGTTTCTTCGTAAAGTCTCTTTACAATTCCATACGAATGAGAATATTTTAATGATATCGAAATTGAACATGAATATTAATTTATATTTTATTATTAGTTTTGTTTCTTCCTGACAAAAATACGAAATTACTTTTAATGGCAGCAGTCTGAAAATGATTGCAGTTAAAGCGAAGTTTTATCTACAAATCACCATCTTTCTCTTCTCTCACTTCGCTCCGTTATTTCTCGTATTTGTCTCTTCTACTTCTTCTTATGTCTTCTGCTCTTGTTTTAACTTTTATTTCTGTTTCACTTCTTACTCTTATTTCTTTTGTTTCCTGCTATAAGACAGAGTGAAAGTATGGCAATTGGTCGAAAAAGTTTTCTACAATTTTTATATTTTTGGACTGGGAGACCTGTAAAAGTCGAGAAATGTAAAGAAATTTCGGGGTTTTTTCTCTATATGAATGTGTGTGGAAACGACAATTTTGTTCAATTATTTTAAATCTGTGCTTTTTTCTCGAAAATTTCTAAAACTTTATTGGAAATTTTTGTATATAGAGGATTAATAATACCAAATTTTAGTGATTTGTTTTCGTATTTATTGACAATTGAACACAAGACTGTGTTATTAATTAAACACAGTCTTGTGTTTTTCCTCTTTATTCAGTTGAACTGAATAAAGAGGAAAAACGCCAATTGTTTAATTAATAACACAGTCTTGTGTTCAATAGACAATAAATTTTAGTGGTTAAACGAAAGATATAGGGGCGTGGTGTGTCCTAACTCCAAAAGCATCGAACTCGAAGATTTTACTCGTTATGAGCATTTCAAGTTTTTATTAAACTCGTCTCTACCCCTAAAAATAAACTTTCTGCCATTTTATCATAATTAATAACTTGAAAAAATTTTTAAATATCGCAACAGATGGCGCCACACGCAATTTTAAATGTTGTTACCGGGAAAGTTACGCAACTCGTTGTTGTATTTTTGAACTGCAATTTTTAAAAATTGTAGACCTACTGTCGTCCTTTTGTCTGTCTGTTTTTCGTTAATCTCGACTACGGAACTAGATAGATGAAAGTCAACACAAGTATAAAAATCTTAGGGGAGAAAGTTCCAGATTAATTATATATAAATTAGAAGTCACGTTATAGTTCAAATGTTTCCTAGAAAAGCAATGAACGAATAATCGGAATGACTATTGTTAAAAGTATATGATATACAGAGGCAAAATACTATTAATTTAAGGTGGAAAGCATATACAGTGGTACCTCAGGATACGAAATTAATTCATGAAACTGAGATCGTATCATGAAAATGTCGTAAGGTGAATCATTTTTCTCCATAGGATTACATGTAAAACCAAATAATTCGTTCCAACACGAAAATACACTCAAATTAAATCTAAGTAGTATAGTAAGGAAAACACTGACAAATGCGTTTTGTAGTTCTAAATATATAAATAACCATAATAGAATAATAATTGATAAAAGAAATGTAGTTTTATTTGCACTTTACCTTTGAGGATAGACGACGATGAAGGAGTAAACTGGTGGCGGAAGAGAGGGGAGAAGGGAAATGATACTAAAAACTTAACTTGCATAACATAATGTAACAATAACTTAAAAATAACTTATAAAACAACACTAATTTGTCATCTTATTTTTTCTTTTTTAATTTTTATTCACTGCTTTTTGCTTTCTTTTTCTTCACTTCCACCAGCACTTTCACTAAATACAGGTCTCTTGGTAAAATATCTATCCACAGACGTTTGGCTTTGTCTACTTTTTACAATGTTTCTAAAATGACATAGGCAAATGTCATTACTCCGAGCAGCAATACGGCTAGTGTGAACCTTTTTGGAATGCTTCTTTTCAATAAAATTAGTCACTTTCTGATAATACTTCGAGATTTCCTTTATCGAGCGAGATCCTTCCACGACAAAGCAAACGCGCAGACTGAGACCGATGAACAGAAGTGAATAAAAAAAATGGCGCTGCGAACTAATGTAACGTCGTATGGTAAGTTTTTGTTCGTATCGTGGAGCAAAAATATGTTCGAATTTCGTGTCGTATCCTGAAAATTTCGTATGCAGGGACGTTCGTATTCTGAGGTACCACTGTACAGTATTTTAAATATAATAAATTAAAAATACGATTAAGAAGTGCAGTCCGGCATTGTGACGATTTCACAATAATTAATTGTGTGGAATAACATCAAAAGTAGAATATCTGAAGAACCAAACGTAAGAAATTTGCTATCTCAATCATATTCAAGTTATTGAAGTATGTAAACAGATTTACCAACACATTTTTTTAGTTCGGAATGTATTCAATCCATTGAAATTATTAAGTACAGTAGAACCTCCATTATCCGGACCTCCATTATCCGGATTTTCGATTATCCGGATTGTTCAAAATAAACAAAAATTTTACGAATTTGCTGATTTGCACTTGGCGAATTACGACACTGTTTATGTACGTGATGGAATGCATAACTTTTTTTGTTTCAACAACGTCTCACCCAGCACAGTGGTCGTAAACTCTTAAATATATTTTACGTAGTAATAAAAATATAACTTGACATACGTATTTATAAATAATTTATATTCAAATTACATCATTTCTATGACCAAGGGCGGCGTAAGGCATGGACGACGTGGGCCACCGCCTATGCCTCGCGGTCCGAAGGGCCTCGCGCCTCGAAGGTTTATGCATTACTTAAAAGCCGCGAACGCGACGAAAAAATTTTACTCGTCATAAAACGATAAATAGTTTGTCAAATTTTTATTCATAAAAATGCAGTGTCAACTGCTTTTTATTTTATAAAATCCGTCTTCTTGCGTTACCAGAGGGCCTTTTAAACAATAGGTAGTCTGGTAGCGTTGGTCAGTAGTAGTACAAATGCAATACGAACGTTTGTTTCTTGAAAATTTGATCACGATTTAAATACAGTATTTACTTTTAATATTACCGATATGTCATCGAAAAGAAAACGTGTTGTATTATCATTAAAACACAAATTAAAGTATTTGTTTCGATTATCCGGATTTTTCCTTATCCGGACTACCTTCATCTCCAATTAGTCCTGATAATCGAGGTTCTACTGTATTATTAAACTTGATGATGATAGGTACATTTTTTCCTATTAACGTTTTAAAAAGTTGTGACGTACGATGTGACATCACAACTTACCACTGTTTATACGTAAACAATTATGCCTTCCGGGAGGTCTTTTAAGAGTAACTGGCCCCTATTCAGGCATTACAGACGTGGAGAAAACCCGGAAAACTCCACGTGGCCAGCTCGTCCTAGCGAGGCGCGAACCGTCCATCGAACTCCCGTGTTTAGGGAAAGGAACCGCTTGGCTACTGGTGGGCTATCTATCATCTTTTCGCCGAAACTTCGAGTTTGCTATTCTTTGAGTTTCACGGTAAACCTGTAAACTAACGTTATTTGATGCTCCATAAAATTTGTTAGTAACATTTCCTTACAGTCCGAAAAGATCAGTCATTATCTCTTTTGTAGATAGCAATTGGTTAAATTTCTTCGAAATGCGACTTAGTTTCATTAACTGAGAAAACGAAACATGTTCTTTCCATGTTTGACCGTGCAATTTTTTTCTTTCTTTAAAATTCCGCTCACTTCAATACACGAAGAAAATATCGAATAAAGAGTACTGATTACCTGAAAACAATAACCATTAATTAATATTATGTATACGTGACGTGTATCTATACCATTAGAAAACAAATAAGAATTTACTCTTATCGGGAAATTCCGTTTTATGTAGAAGAATCCGCCAATCGATATGCCAAGAGGAATCTTTCCAAATCTCTTCATAAAGTCGTTTATCTTTTAAAGAAAAAATTATAATAATCTTAATCAGTTTATAATAATAAAATCCAGTATTTCCTTGTTTAATCATTGAGGGTCTATAATTTAACTTAAGTGTTTCTGGGTTTATTTGAAATCTCGAAATTTTTAGATACCAGAGATTATATTACTTTACAAAAGAATTATTGTAATAAATACCTTAATTATTGCAGATTTTTCGAATGAATTAAAATCATTTTCATCTATTCGTACATAACAGTTACAACATTTGAGATAATTACCGTGTTCTTAGCTATCCAATGTCTACCAATTCACTTTTATACAGGGTAATAAAAAATGAATATTGGGTCCACCAGTGTTCCAATGGATAAAACCACTGAACACTGGCAGTTTGCTTCTGAATTCGCCTCGCGAACTATCGGCCAAATATAGTTTACCGAGTTTTCCTTACATTAGTAACACCTAAGTTGAGGCCAGTTTCCTATAGAAGACTTCCAGGAAGCGTACTTCCTGTAGATTAGATCTACAGATTGCTCGTATGGCAGTTTGCAATAAACGAATAAACAAAAATACGAAATAAATTATTGGATTTCACGCAATATTTTTGACAATATTTCAGGTTAAACAATCAATGATAATTTAGAACTACAAACTATTCAAGTTTCGGTTAAAGAAGTACGGACGTTCTGTGTACGGACTTTGATAACGTGTTATCCAAGTAGCCGTCTAGTTCGAACGACGCATAATAAGAATGTCTTTCTGGATGGTCACAATTGCAGTGTTACTTCAATTCCTGCGCTTTTCCAAAGACAGTAAGTAATGAAAACATAAACCGTGCTTTTTACATACCTCGACAGAAACAAATACCGCACGGTGTGATCTCCAGAGATGTGAGAAACGTCTGTTTAGCGGTAATGCTTTCCCACTCGGCCATTAGTTGATTTGCAACTTTACTTAAACCTATCTCTTGTCATTGTTATTACATTGTTAACTGCATTACGTTATACAATATCTTACTTCGAAACGTTTCCCATGCTTTTTACCTGGTGGTTCAATCGGAAAAATAAGGTGCAATACAGAGTAGACAAAAAGTTTGGAAAAACTTTAAAAATTTATTTAAAACTGGACGAATTATCGAAATAAACTGCAGTTTGCATGGTAAGTATAGTCAACACGGTAGGTTCTTTTTGTTGACAAGGGTAAAATTTAGTTCAAACTACATTTCTTTTCGATGAAACTCCAACTTTTTACGAATTTTTAACGTACGAAATTTATATTTAACATGTTTATATTTTTTCTCTTTTCGGATTGAAAAAAGTTTAATTATATACAATATAATTAAACTTTCCCATAATTTAATTATATATATAATTAAACCCATAATTTATTTATTTATTTCCATATGTCTGATAGAAACAAAGTACGGTAAAACCTGCCAAATTTTCAAAAATCTTGTACAGTGCCAATCCGTTTTACATATGTTTTACTGTATTTGTGTCAGATTTTGTTCAAATGGATGAAATCTATCATACTGAAAGTGTATTTAATATGCTAGACCATGTATATTTAAGTTGTCTTAAATATACATGTAGTGTTTCCTAATACTGTATTCACTTACCTTAAATTTGAATGTTAACGGTAGATTCGCAGAAGAAATCTTCACAATGCTGATGAAATTATCGTACATCTGAAAAGAAAATAATACTATTTCAATCTGTGATTGTAGCATTATACAGACTGGGAAGAATTAAACTGATAGTACTCAGACACGAGTAGAGCTTACCCAACTAAACCAATATACATGTAATGCACATGATCACTGAAAAGAAACTTACAATGGGAAAAATTACTTGAAATTTTCACCACCAGTAGTAAATATGACGCTGTAATTATAACAATTATAAGAACAGTGAACAATATTTTATTTTTAAAATAAAATTACATTTTACATATTTTCAGCATGTGTAATGTAGGATACTTTTCTGTCGACCACTTTGCAGTTGTAAAACCACGTTATCAACTGCAGCACGTAACATTTCAGCAGAAATCTCAGAGTAGGATCTTACTATGCTGGCCTTCACATTCCACATCGAGTGTAGATGCTCGTAATAAACACGGTCTTTCGAATCACCCTACACCCGAAAGCATATGTTTTCGACCGAACAGACCACATATTACCCTGTTGGTGAATTTAGTGGTATGTAATGACCTACTCGCCTTTCTCCCCCGAATATGGCCTGAATCGAGAAGTTGCCTACGGTGTAACGGATAACGAAATTCGAACGCCGCGAGTTTCAAGAAGAAAGTTCGTTTTTTTGGAGGAGTAAAAAAGAATGTTTCGAATTCGTTTCGTTTACAGATTTTTGTTAAAAAGAGACCTGTGGCGATACTGTATTCTCTACATTGGCGGTATCCCCGAACAAGATAGTTGGGAATGGACTCTACTTACTGCACAAAGGTTTGAAGAATATACAGGTTTTACGTCAGAGAAGGTGTAGGAAATTTTTTTTTACCTTTCGGGAACAAAATTTCACGGCGTAATTCTAAGCGTAAAGGAAATTTAAAATGAAGAGCTACGTATATTGGAGGAAAAGCTTCGTGGCACAATAGACGATGGTCTGAACGTACAGGAGTTATGGGAACTTATTATAAAAAGTAATAATTTTAATAAGGGCCTGGATTTCCTATTGGAAATTCTGATCTCGAGCATTACTAAAAGGAAAGGGAAACAAAAGGAAAAACAGAGAACAGGAAAGGCTACAAGCTGAGATAAAATTGGAGATAATGCTGATAATTCCAATAATTTCAACCTTGCCGATAGCCGCATAATAATGGGTTTGATATGTCTATTGAAAAATTAATTAAACGTGTAAAAACGTTAACGCTGCCAGTCTCAAATAGATCCTAAAATTGAAAACTATTTTTCTTATTTTTAGAGCGAGAGTTCCAATTAAAGAATGTTCCAAAGGAGATGAAAGCAGAAATAATGATTAATGTTCTGAGCGAAATGGCCGCAAGCATTTCAATTTAATATATATAAGCAGAGACGAGTCATTAAGGGATTACGTAAGCGTTGAGAAATTAGTACTACGATAATACGAACCGCCAGCTCAATACTGCCTAGAAAATTTCTGAAGAGCTATGCATAGGCCTAATTAGACGCACATGCAATTTATTGCATCGGCTTGGAAATATTAATATTAGTTGAGGAAAGTCGAGGACCTTGAGACTCTAAAACAACAAATCGTCTTGGATAGATTCTTCCAGACGTTAAATGACAACACGGTGGCTCATATAAGCGTTCGTCAGGGCGAGGGCTGGATTAACCCTATCGACATGGCAACAGAATGTGATCTATACTTCGAAAGTAAAGGAAGAGCCATAACCGAAACGTATAATGATCTGCAAAGGTAATTGCGGTGCTTTCCAAATCTTCAGGGTACTAAGGAAAACAGATCTAACGATCTCCAGGAAATAAAACGGAGGGAATGCTTCATTTGTAGATCATCCCACCATATTTCTACATTTTGGCCGCAGAAGATAAGGGATTTGCCCATAATCGACGACTTTCGATAGACTGGAGACAAAACGACAGCACAGTAGTGGCGAGCACGAAATCAGAACTCTTTGGGGGAAAAATGAGCGGCGATTTGAAGTCAGCTCCTAGCATTCAACCTCTACAATACGTTACAATAAACATAGATGAGCGAGATACTTCAGTTATCGTAAATTCAGGCACACAAATCCCGATCTTGTGCCCGAGGAAACATATAGTAAAACTCCCTATGACTGTTAATGACCACTGCAATCAAAATTTATTATCTCCTGTAGAAATTATGGTGGCACTGACCGAAAAACTGTCTCATACCGCCAGGTGTTTACAAATTGCTGGAAGAAAAAAAATTAAAAGCTCGGTTTGCAAGGAAACGGGAATTGTCAGCTATGGAGATGTAGCCATAACTCAGACATCGAAGGAGAAAGAGGCGTCTGGAGGAGAGAATCGCAAGATAGAAGAAGAATTTTATGAACGTCATAATCGTATTAATTCAAATACAGAAATTGATACTGAGAAAAGGAATACTAGAGATAAAAAGAAAAAAAAATCATGGTTAGTTCAAGATAGATGGGATCATGATTTGTATTTTGAAGATGAACAGGCTGCAAAATCTAGAGAAGACTTAATATCAATTTATGGTTATATTAGAAGTGAAGGTCCTCCACGTGCCCAGAGAAGATAGGGGCGAGGTCGTGCCAAGTACACACGAAATTGGCAGGATCAAACCGCTTACCAAAAATTACAAGAAATGAATCGTGGACGCATTGCAACAGAGGTTTTAATAGAGGTAGAATAAATAATAATTATTCGGAACAAGAAGAAAATGCAGCTAAAGTGCATCGCAAACATTCGAAAATTCAAAATTTTTACAAGAATCTAAGAAAGAAACAAATGAAAGTATACAAAGTAATAAAGAAAATTATAAGCCGTCGTATTGTGGAGGCAATCACCAACAAATTATCAAGTTAAATGTCAGTCTAGAGCAGCGGTTCCCAAAGTGTTCACCGCGGTGCCCCAGGGTACCACAGCCTCCTCGCAGCAGCGCCACGGAATATTATAAAATTTTCATAATTTTACTTCCATTTTCAATTCAATGTGATAGGATGTGACATCTAACAGACTTGGTACAAATCATTAATTTTTAATAAAAAATATATTGGCTATTTCTCTATTTCGCAAACTGTACTTGTTAGAATTTAGGGGCACCTTGAAAAATCTAGATTTAATAAGGGCGCCGTGAATCAAAAAAGTTTGGGAACAACTAGTCTAGAGGAAGAAATAGGAGAAGAGATGGTAGCCACACAGGACCTGGTGGTAGTAATAATAATAGTTACACAATTCTCACAACAGAAATGGAAAAGCTCTCTTTAAAGGATAATCAGACAACAAAACGGATCAGAAAAGAATTAGGAAAGATAAAACAGATCATGGAAATCCTCTTATAAATAATTGTCAGCAAGAATCATATAGTTTCTCAACGACCAGAGGTAGAACCGATTTTAGTGGCACTCGTCCAAAACGGTATTCTTCACTCAGGCAGCGATCGATTGTAAATCCACATGTTTATCAACTCAGACATTTTGACAAAGAGCGCACCTCAGTCATCGAGACTTCAACGTGGGCATTGGCTCCACCGCGATACAACATCATCCTCAAGCATTGTCCCGGAGCACATCTGAACAACGCAGATGATCTTTCGAGACTTGTTTGAGACTTGTTTGTGTTTGTGACATTAATAGTGACTTTTACTTCGACATGAAGTGATAAGACTTGCAGGCATAATTTGTGTAAATGAAAAATTGTGAGTTGTGTATCGCGTGTGTAAACTTGGTGTATTTTCGTAAAGGTTCTGTTTTATTATACTCTTATTCTTTGGGAGTTTGTCTCAGATCTGTGTTCGAATTAACACCCTAACACTGAGTGGCATGCCGCTTCCCTTGTATTTTCTCTAAAATGTAAATTCATATTGTGCGATTATTTTTAACCTCATTATTTATTTATTTCAAATTTATATACGTGTGAAAAACAATGTTAAGATTAAAGGCGACTTCCAGGGGCAATCAGTTATTCGCGTGTCAGTCTGACGCACAATTAACTGATTGTTCTAGGAAGTCGACTTCTTACAAAAACAAAGCTTTCCTATTATCAAATATCACGGCAACACTTATCTTGCAGCGAAGGTAGACCTACTCGCCTGACACCCCGAGTGTAGCCTTGCTGAAGCACTGTATCAGGAGGTTGTTTACTTCTTCTTCTTCTTCTTTCCTTCTCTGATATGGAGATTCTGGCTGGTCACCTTTTCTCCGATGAACTCTTGTCCGCAATTAGTCAAATCGATGTGTGCGTGCTACGTAACGTTCGAGGGCCTGCACGTGCTGTCTAGGTGAGAGGTCTGTTCTTGCCCAATATATGGGTGCTAAAGTCTGGATGATTGCGAGATCGATCTTCAGAGTACAAGCGAGTTCTTGTCGGGCGTCCGTATATCTCGGGCACGTCAACCAAAAATGTCCGGATGTCTCCTGAGCACCACAATGTTGACAGTCTGGTGAAACACATAGGTTTCTAGAAAAGAGGAACCCGTTAAGAGGGGCAGTGTCAGTTCATAGGCGGGCCAAAAGGGTCTCCGCATTCCGAGAAGAAGCGTGCCTGTAAGGCCAGGGGGCGAAGGGTCTAAGGTGGTCTCGGCCTTTATTACGCAAGTGTTCTGACCACAAATCTGTAATCTCTAATTTTTGTTTTTCTCTATACTCCCGGATCAAGTCGTGGGCCATAAGTGACCCACTCCAAGAGCCTGAAGGGGTATCTGTTCTCGCGGCTCTGTCCGCCGCCTCGTTGATATAAATTCCCACGTGACCAGGGATCCACCCGATTTCTATGAGTTTGGGATGTTGACTAATATTGTCCGCGATGTCGATAAGAAGTGCCAGAGATGAGAAGGAGATATTGCCTATCTCCTGTATGGCGGACTTACTGTCAGAGCATATGACTGATGGACTGTCTAGGCTTGAGCTAAGGTGTAGCGCCCGTTTTATACCCAGGGCTTCTGCCCCGTATACACTGCAAGAATTATGTAACAGCCAGGTCTCCCTGATGTTGTGATCCAGGAGGACAATCCCTATCGACGT